ATAATAAAACTCTAATATGATGACTGACGAAAACAAACTATAACCTTAGTTGGATTCAAGGCTCATGAATTTAGTTTTATTCCATATCGTCACTTTTTAAAAGTTAAAAATAATTCCAAATCCTCCCACGTATCGTGGAGGTAGAAAATTCAGAGTTCAAAGTAGAAGGTCCTTTTGAGAGATGTGACATAGGCAGTCCACTAGCGTCCGAATAAGTTCACATCCAGTGAGCGGACCATCAAACCGGGAAACTGTCTGTGATAGTTCTTGAATCCTGAATCTTGCATATTATCCGTAAGAAAAGAAGTCCAGATCTTTGAGAATCTTCCAAACAGTCGATTCCACGTTGAATTACATCTCAAAAAGCATGTAAAAGGCTAAAAAGCACTTACAAAAACATTGGAAAGGCATCTCTTACRACGTATCTCCGAGTGACGAGCCGAATATGTTTTCCGAACACATCGCGAAGTCAAGGTCCTTTCGCCCGATGTGAACGAGCGCTAACCCTGCCTTCGAGGGTTAGATCTGATAAAGGTGGTGAAAATGTGGGCGTATCCATGTATATGCTTCAGTATCCAGACATAGGTCCAGGAAGGGGAAGTATGATTGCTGGATGCAGCGTCCACAATCAAAGAATTGAAAGACTCTGGCGAGATGTCACTTAGAAGAATGTGGAGTTCTCGATCCAGCTAATCAAATGCATTTGTTTGCTTTGCATTATGTATATATTCCTCGAATTAACCTTTTTTTTAAATACATGGAAAGATGGCTACATTCATCATAGAATCAGAACAGCCGTCAATGCAACTGTACAATCAACAGGGGCTGATTTAGACTAGTTCAACTAGTTTCCGGAAACTAGTGAGATTTAAAAAAAAAAAAAAGATGTAGTTGAAGGCGATACTTCAAATAAAATCATATGAACGAAAAGAATATAGAGTATTCACTGAAGTATTTTACCGGTAGATGGCAATACGATCGCTTTGGCCGCCATTTTGAAAGTTGTACCACAGGAAAYCCACATTTACTACTTGGAATATAAACTTCTTTGTTCTTGTGGGAGGGGACCCATCGAAGTGTTTGACACAAGACTGTCGATCACGAGCCCAGAGTCCCCCAATGGCTCTTAGACAGCGGACTATCGCTTGAGAGTGCACTAGTGCAAAATGACGTAGCACTGATTCACATAGGAATCCCAACTGGTTTCCAGATAAATTCTTGTTCACACAGGAAACCCGAAAGCTATTTTCAGCCAATCAGGATCGAGCTTTGAGTTTCTGTGTATCATCATAACAACAGTAGATCAATTTTGATTGGCTAAAAAGCCAGAAACCAGTCCAGAAACCAGTGACAAAAGTATAAATAGACTAGGGTACCCTAGTGAGGTCCTCTCAGTGTTCCGTTAGACTCTCTGGAATCGCTTCGAACACTGTTACAGATTTCTAAAACAACACTAACTGAGCAAATGGAAAAAAGATCGAGGCCAGAAATACTACCAGCACTGTTTAGATCTGTTGCTCTTGTGTCGGAATGTGGATAAACCTCTCGTGAAACTGTTCAAAGGAAATTCCTGTAGTATACATTGAATTCGCCAAACAGATTCGGATTCATGCATGTGAACATTCTTCGTGCTTGGTATGTATTGAAAATAATTTCTTTTGATTTAAAAAGAATGAAAACGCTTGAACCGAATAAGTTCATATTAAACACAGTTAAGAATTGATAATTTAAATTCGAAATACAATTTTCTGGAATTCGGTTGCTAGCGTCATCTACCGCGGCGCATTGCCGTCCCTTGTGTATGTTAACAAGTTGGCTGAATCGGCTTAACTAGTTCATTAGTTTATTAGAATCATTTTGCCGACAGAAAAAAAAACAACATTTCACATTTATTTAAACA